ACACACACACACACACACGTAATCCCTGCCCATGACACACACACACGTAACTGGATACTGATCTAGACCTGCCCATGATACACACACACACACACACACACACACACGTAACCCCTGCTTTTCCAAAGTCTGTGTTCTGCTGCTTTGCTTTTATGAAATACCTATGTTAGCACCTGTTTCCGCCAACTGAAAGAAACCCAAAGAGATCTTCGCTTTTATGAATAAAGGCTAAAAGTGAAAGTAGTGTTCAGTGTGTGTTTGGCAGTGGGCAGGTAGAGAGGCTGCGTGTTGCACCCTGAGCACCTCCCCCGCCGGAACTCCATTCCACATCCAGCCACCAGAGCTTTGAACTGTGTCTGCAAGCGTCCGTGCTTTACCTGAATTTACTGTGTGCACACACTAGCAAGCTGTGTCCTAAGATATCAGAAAAGCCTACGAGAGCTTATTTTTGGGGCCTGGGAACACTCGAAAAATTTTCACCATACAGGTTAAAGGCGATGGCTTTTTTCCTTTATGCCGTTTCAACTTATAAAAGGTTTCACAGGAACGCTCGACTTTCAGATAGTGGGGGAAACAGGAAGTCCCCAGGACTTCACACAATGAAGTGTCATGATAAGGTCTGCATGGTAGGCCACGTACTCTGGCTACAGTGGCAACGAGAGGCCGGAGGAGTCAAGGTGTGGTGGGAGGACAAGGCGGGCATGTGTGTTACTGTCCACTGATTCTGCCTGAACAGCCATTAAATCCATTAGCTGAATATGGAAAAGAGAGACTGCGCTTATAAAAACATTGGTCTTTATTACAATACCCTTATGACTTAACCAATGTTTAAAAGGATAATTAATCCTGTAAAGAGGAAAATATGTGACTTAGTAGTCCAGAGAGTCAGTTACTAACAGCTCAACCTGGAGGTGCAGACTTCCTATGAATTACTTCACAGAGATTTTTCTGGGTGTCACCTGGGGTCTTAGTTTTGAATGCTGCAAAGGATCTGTGGCTCACAGGCGGCTCACTTATTCCTCCCATTCTCCTGGTTTTTGCTCACTGCAACCATTTCTGGGCACTCCAAAGGCCTTAAAACGGAAATTCATTTTGCCATGGCTCGTAGCAGAATGTGAAGTCCTTCCTGTTGCTAGAGACCAGAGGACCTGGCAGTGGCCTGGTTCCTTCCTTCGGGGGTCAGTGTCTCTACAGCTCAGGTGTGTGTGTGGCCTCATGGCCAGTGGGTGACTATTTCCGTCAGGGCCACCTGGCCACAGCTTCCCTTTGAGGTATCCTGGGAGGACAAGCTGCCTGCAGGCATTAATTACCTACCAACAGGGCTAATAACTTTAGGTTCTCTCTACCCCACGTCCTACCCTTACCCACAAGAACCTTTGAAATTCTATCTGGGAAATAGTGTATGGAACAGTCATTGTGCCCAGTGGTTCTGCACTTCCTCAGAGTAGGAAACAGTGCTGTGAAATCTGGAAATGCTGACTTGGGCTCGTGGCCATCAGGGGTGTTCCTCTGCTCCAGCGCACTCTCCTGCTGGAAGATTCCTGAACACCGAGAGAGGCACTCTGGGAGCCCTCAGAGCAGCCCAAACTGGTGGTGAAGTCCTGGGAAAAGCCCTACTATGAAAGGGTCAGCTGGAAGGATGGCCAGGCAGAAAGACCCCCCCAGGAGCCTCTCCGACGAAGAGGACTATCACCATCCTGCACCCGCTGCTGCTTCTGCCTCACATCTCAGAGACTCTTTCTATGGCAAACTTAGCATTTACTTTTCGGTGAGGCAATCACCACTTGAAATGTCTCCCCTGAGAAGTCCAGCTTGATGAGCCTCAGCACTGGGGAAACACCATTCCTTCCCTCATGCATGAAAGTGTCAGACAGCTGAGCAGGAATAATACACATGGATTCCAGGGACCCTACACCTAGCTTTGGGTATGAAGAGACAAGTCATGTCCAAGTAGTTACGGGCATGCGCTACCCAAGGCATGTACTGGGAACCTTAACACAACACAGACAGCCTAATAGTGAGGGTTCCAGATTGCCCATATGTTCATGTAATTTTATTTCTCAATTCTCCATGACCAGTAACCATTTAGAATGGGCTAGATATTGTTAAATCTCTAAGTGATGGTGCGGTAAGGTCTTTTGTTTTTTTTTTTGTAATTCTTCTTCAGACTATATTCACTGAAGGGCCCTCTATGAAAATCTTGGCTTACAAGTAAAACACATGGTTATTTGAATGCCTTTACATACACTGGCTCAAGATACTTCCCGTCCCTATAGATTACAAGTCACAGGCAATAGATCTGAACAGAAGACTCTGCATCTGTAACCCTAAACAGGAAACTGAAAAAGGATGGGGTGTGTAGAGGTACTAGTGGGGGTTGGGGGCAGACAGGTGAAGTAGAAAGAAAGGAAGAACTGGACACCAAAGCATGGTGGTTAAGAGTGTATACTACTATTATGTCCATATGTCAAAGCAAATTACCATCACAACACATGATAATGAACTGATAAAAACTGAGAATAATGTGCTAAGGTCTGTACTCATGGAGTCCTCACGACAACACTCTGAGGAAGGCCTTTTATCCCTATTTTATAGAAAAGGAAACTGAGGCTTAGTGGGAGTACGTTGCTTAAGTTCAAACAATTAGTGAGTTGTAAAGCTGGGTTATAAATCCAGGGACAACATTCCTAATCAGTTCTTTTTACTACTCTTTACAATTAACAATGAACTGACCCAACCAAAGAGGCAAAGCATCTGTACTCAGAAAACTATAAAATTCTCATGAAAGAAATTGAGGAAGACACAAAGAAATGGAAAAATGTTCCATGCTCATGGACTGGAAGAACAAATATTGTGAAGATATCAATGCTACCTAGAGCAATCTACACATTCAATGCAATCCCTATCAAAATACCATCCACTTTTTTCAAAGAAATGGAACAAATAATCCTAAAATTTGTGTGGCACCACAAAAGACCCTGAATAGCAGAGGAATGTTGAAAAAGAAAAGCAAAGCTGGTGGCATCACAATTCTGGACTTCAAGCTCTACTACAAAGCTGTAATCATCAAGACAGTATGGTAATGGCACAAAAACAGACACATAGATCAATGGAACAGAATCGAGAGCCCAGAAATGGACCCTCAACTCTATGGTCAACTCATCTTTGACAAAGCAGGACAGAATGTCCAATGGCAAAAAGACAGTCTCTTCAACAAATGGTGTTGGGAAAACTGGACAGCCACATGCAGAAGAATGAAACTGGACCATTTCCTTACACCACACACAAAAATAGACTCCAAATGGTTGAAAGACCTCAACGTGAGACAGGAGTCCATCCAAATCCTAAAGGAGAACACAGGTAGCAACCTCTTCGACCTCAGCCGCAGCAACTTCTTCCTAGAAACATCGCCAAAGGCAAGGGAAGCAAGGGCAAAAACGAACTATTGGGATTTCATCAAGATAAAAAGCTTTTGCATAGCAAAAGAAACAGTCCACAAAACCAAAAGACAACCGACAGAATGGGAGAAAATATTTGCAAATGACATATCAGATACAGGGCTAGTATCCAAAATCTATAAAGAACTTATTAAACTCAACACCCAAAGAACAAATGATCCAATCAAGAAATGGGCTGAAGACATGAACAGACATTTTTCCAAAGAAGACATCCAAATGGCCAACAGACACATGAAAAAGTGCTCAACATCGCTCGGCATCAGGGAAATCCAAATCAAAACCTCAATGAGATACCACCTCACACCAGTCAGAATGGCTAAAATTAACAAGTAAGGAAATGACAGATGTTGGCGGGGATGCAAAGGGGAACCCTCCTACAGTGTTGGTGGGAATGCAAGCTGGTGCAGCCACTCTGGAAAACAGTATGGAGGTTCTTCAAAAAGTTGAATAGAGCTACCATACGATCCAGCAATTGCACTATTGGGTATTTACCCCAAAGATACAAATGTAGGGATCCGAAGGGGTACGTGTACCCCGATGTTTATAGCAGCAATGTCCACAATAGCCAAACTATGGAAAGAGCCAAGATGTCCATCGACAGATGAATGGATAAAGAAGATGTGGTATATATATACAATGGAATATTATGCAGTC